ATCTTACACATTCTGAAAACAAGATTATTATTCTTACACAATCAGTTCTTGTTTAGTAAATCAGTCTCAAAACAAGATCAAAAAGACTTTTTGGCTGATATAAGATTTTAAAACTTGGTTAGGTGGACAGTTTTGCAGTGTAAAATTATCTCTTCCTGTTGTTCTAAAACTAAATTGTCAGTTTCTTGTTAGTTTTGGTGAAAGTTACAGAGTCCCAGGTTGCAGAGCCTTATAGTCAAACATTGTAACTCATTATGAGCTTTAAGCTGTGGGGTCACGAACAACATGTTCTCCTTTTGTCAGACTTCGGCTCTTTAACCAGTTGGAGGATGAGCTGCAGTCCCACCAGCATGAGGGGCAGTGGCTGAGGGAGAAGGGCAACCAACTGGCTCAGAAAGACGCAGAGCTGGCTGGAGAAGTGCTGAGAGAAATCTGCTTGTTGGAGACAACCTGGGAGGACACCAGGAGGCTCATTACAGACAGGTACTGGAGCACAACATGGTGAAAGTCACTTCAAAGATGGACGCCACAGTACCAGTCAATCTGTTTTACAGACATGGATTTTAAAGTGGATGTGATCTGAGAGACTTTCAGGTCTTTGTCATGTTACATCATTAGTTCACACTTATTCAAAGTTTGACCAAAACCTTTTTCAGCAGAAACATTTACTTTTTACATTTGGCCTAAAAAAACAGCAAGTGACGTGAGGAATATTAATTTAGTTATAAATAATAATATGCAGTCTAAAAATATGTCATATTTGTGAGCCATCATACGAAATGAGGATTAAGTCAAATTTGGTCAAAATGACCTAATTACATTTTCAGGTTCTTGGATTTAAAAGCTACATTTTGATACCTGGATCATTCTGATATCATAAATAAATCCATATATATGACTTAATTTGTCTTGTTGTTTTCCAATAATACATAAATATTTGGTCTGAATCCTAATTTTGTCATTATAATGAGGAATTTTTGATGTCCTTATAAAGAGGAAACCTCAAATTATATTTGAATATTGAGATTTTCCAGCTAAAAATAAACTAAACTTTGCTAACTCACAGGGACAATCTCAAAAATTTAAGGCGTTTTTCCACAAAATCAGTTTTTTTTTGTTGCTACTGCTCAAAAATTGCTTCAAAATTTTGTTTTATGATTATATTTCAGGCAGTTCATTCAAATGATACATTGATAAGGCTTTTATTCATTATATTTAGACAAAATGCAATTTTAGTTAACATTTTAGTCAAAACACTATATTTGCCTATTTCTACATACACCACTTTTAGACTTAATCCTCGTTTCGATGTGATGGGTCACTTTGTTTGTGTGTCAGACAGGAGCAGTGCAGTGCTCTTGTTGAGCTCATGAGTGAATACCAACTGCTGAAAACTACAATCAGCAGCATCATTGATAGTGCTGAACCTGTGGTGGAGATCAGTTCTGTTCTGAAGGATCACGAGGAAACCAGGAGAACACTGGCTAAGGTCTGAAACAAATGACTTGTTTTTCAAGACTTCTCTTCTAGATTTTAACCATTGAAACAGTTCAGAAATCTGAATAAAGAAGACATTTCTTTAACTGGTTTCTGCAGATTGAGATGGTTTGTTGTGTCTTCCTCTGCAGCATGAAGCCATGAAGACAGAGCTGACCTGCAGGCAGCAAGAGTTGGATCAGTTCTCTGCCAAAGGAAAGCAGCTGCTGACTGAGCTGAAGAAGGTCCCAGAGTGTGACAGTGACACCATCAAAAGGGATTTGGAAACAATTGTTGATCTCTGGTTGGATGTAAGTTAGACTTTCAAATTATGATTCACCAAAAATACTGTCTACTGTAAATACTGTAATAAACTGAAGTCTTTAAATGAAGAGGTACAATAAAGCTTGATATAAAACTTCAGCCTTAATGAAAGACAAGTTGTTTTTAACCTCAGTCCTCAATTTTGGTAAAGACATTTCTCCTGACAATCTTGGACCTTTGGCTTCATACAGCTGCTCTGCTGTCAGAAATTTGGGTTTCATTTTTGATATGTTTAAATTGGACAGGCAGATAAACTCAGTGGTTAAATCGAGTTTTTTTCCTATTAAGACTTATTGCTAAGGTGAAGCCATACCTCCCAAACAAAGATCTTAAGAAAGTGATTCATGCTCTCATTACATCTTGTTTGGATTATTGTAATTCTTTGTATGTTGGTTTGGATAAATCTTCTCTGCATCAATTACAAGTTGTCCAAAACGCAGCAGCTCGCCTTTTAACAGGAACTAAAAACATGAACACATATCCCCGGTCCTGGCTCCTCTCCATTGGCTTCCTGTTCATTTTATTGCTTACTTTTAAAGCTTTGAAAGGTCTGGCCTATCCTACCTGTGTGATCTCTTTAACATCCACACTTCAGTTAGAGCACTTCTGTCATCCAACCAGTTCCTCTTAGTGTCCTGATGCATCTCAGTAATCCAGGTAAAAAATCAAAAAGAAAAAAATTGTATAGGTCTTCTGGACGGGTTCTTCTCCAATGAAACATTTCGTCTCTCCTCCAAGAGACTTCTTCAGTCTGAGAGTTTCAGGCAAAATTCAGGCTTTTAAGCACTGCCATCATGGATGCGGATGAAACTGTGGTCTCTTTTGATGTTACATCGCTCTTCACGTGCGTTCCTGTTGATAAGGCAGTGGATGTGGTCCG